TAGAGTGTGTAAATTTTGAGGTAATGTTGTTTACTTTTCTTGTCGTTATATTTGGAATTGTTTTAGTCATTTGAACTATTCCAAATCAAACAAATTAGGTATATGTTTTGGGAAAACATCAATACTAACAATCCTCACAAAATGGCTCAATGCTAAGGTCAGACAAAATAGCTCAAAATTTTGAGGCTTAAGCCTCATACATTTATGTGCAGCTAAAACTTCGGGATTTTTTATCGTATTTAACATTGTAGATTGAATAATTCCTATAAAAGAAGGTTGTTAGTAGAAAATAAAATAAAATAAAAGTGTAAGATTTATAATCCAAAAATTTGAAAAGTATTCGGCACCTTAGGTATTATAATGAGATGAGTCCCATTTCTTATTTTCTTCCGATGACTGTTTGAAAATTGATAGCATTGTCTTTCGTTAGGCAATGGCTTAAAGTGATATTATCAACAGAATTGAAGGAACATAAACAAATAACCTCGCTTTAAACTCTTTTGGATTCATTTGTACATGAATGTTTCTTATCCACTAAAGACTGTATATGATTAATGGAGTTGTTGCCCGATTCAATAAATAAAGAATATGTGTGATTGCCTGTGAACAAATTGAAATTATCAACAGAGCATAAACCCTACAATAGCGCATAAACCTGATTCAACAACATTTTCATAAAAAAAGTATTCAGAAATGGCACCGCCCCAGCCTGAGCCGCAGCCCCAACCTCAACCTTAGTCACAGCCCCAGCCCTTTAAGGGAAAGACGTCTCGAACAAACTCCCAAAAGGTCGTAGTCGAGGAGAGTCAAGAAATGTAGAATAAATGAGAAGGATGGGCTTGGCTATTATTCTGAAGAAGAATCCAGCAATTTAGCCCTTGGGAGCAGAGGTCCCAAAGGGCAGTCCAATACTTTGACCAAGTGTTGCAGCATTTTAAAGCTGAAAAAATGGATCTCTAACATGAAAAAAAAAACGAGCAGAACCCAGCCCAAATGAATAGATTTCAACTTGTGTATTAGTCAATAACTAATACACAGAGCACACATGTCAGCTTTGACTTCGTACAATACAACCTATTTAATTAATAACATTACATTTTGATTACATTTTGGGATAAGGATTTGAACATCATACTACTCACCCTCTCTCGATGCTCGACTCACTAGAATCATAACAACTTAAGTCCACCAACGATGATCATAATCCATCCACCGAACGCGGTGAGAGACCCTCAAAGCAACAATCTTGCAGTCCAAACAATAGTTTTGTGTGGTCAAGATAGAATGGTCTCTGCGATAAGGAGTGCGAAAGTGGCAAACTCTGATGCACATAACTGTACACACCTTTAACGCACGACTATATATCTCCCAAATGAGTGAAAGAGATAGAACAATGGAAACAGCCCACCAAACAAATAGTCAGAGTGACTCAGGTGTGAGGTCACTCCAAGGCATCCCAACAAGGGGGTAATTTAGGGGTATCATTTGGTGAAGAGTAAATGAGCCCATCCTAGTTCGAAAATTAACCTAGTATAGCGAGCATCTTTCAGATATAAGTCTTTGTTCTCAAAATTGCAAATGATTAAACCAACTTGGATGGTTAGCGGCCGAAGATGAAAACATAGGAGCAGTCAAGCAACTAGGTGAGGTTAGGGCGTGATCCAGAGTAACGTGTTAGGAATACATTTTATTATGTTGCATTTTTATCTTTGTATTTGTTTATTAATTATATTAGTTAATTACACCGCGTGAGCTTTGTATTTGGATCATTAAGCCTTATAATACAGAAGCTTAACGTTCAGATATTATATATCTAAAGGCTAAGCTTTTGTAAACCTAATCGTTAAACTTTTGGTTGAGTAGACATGCATATTATATCAGAGCGAAAGGAGAGTTGTTGTTTCATTGTAGCATATTGAATATGCTGATTTGAAAACATTATCGATCTACCATTCTCATGTTGAATATAGCTTTCAATACTCTCATCTACTCTCTATTGTGCTATATTATTTTTTATGACTGTGTATATTTAGACTTACCATTGGTATCAGAGCAGAACATGTAAACGATTGAGTCCATCTGCATTTTTTCTTTGTCATTTCTCAGTGAAGAACTTGATTAATTAACATCATTTTATTCCAGTATTGGTGCTCTAAATACTCAAGAAAATCCATGGTTGAGCTCGATTTGATATGTTAAATATTTGGGCACCCTTTTTAATCAAATATCAAAATCCCTAAAAACTCATCTTTCTGAACAAACTTCTTCAATTTTTCACACCAACAAACTTCTTTGAACCAATCAGTAAAGTTTTCCATTCGTAAACCTCTTCTCAAGCCTCGCTCAAAAAAAGGAAGGGCAAAATGGTCTTATGAGGCCCTCTGAATATTTCAGCTATCGTGCCCACAAGTCAGCCCGGAGTGGGGGTGCAAATTTCCGATTTTGAACATCTAGACTGAATTTCATATCCGACAATCCAAAATGGATGCCTTCTCAAACTCGCATCATCATTTCCTGACAATCAATGTGTTGTATCTTTAGATGAGCTTGAGCTGAGTTAAGTATTTGTAATTCCAATTTCACAAAACACTTACATTCTTTAAAGGATAAAATATATTCCATGAGTAAAGAACTTAATGCACAAGAGAATATTACTACCTCAAGTCTAAGGCAGAAAACTCAGAAGCAAGAATTTGAAACTTAACTGAATAACTAAATGCTACCGTACTCGAACGATTCACAACTGTTAAAGCACACTTGCGAGACTATTTGGGAGGAACAAAAAAGATTATACTCTACGATCAAAGACCTGGAAGACATCCTTGCTAAAAGAGGCCAAACAGAACAAACATTTTTCTTGGAGCAACTTAATGACAATGGATTCTACGATCTTAAGCAAGACTCGGAATTTAAAAATCAGTGTAACTTAAAAAGGAAACTTCACATCAGTTCTATGAGATAAGATACATGCGCTTAGGTCTAACTTCTTTGATACATTTTACTGGAGCATATAAATCAGTGTCATAGAATGGGAGAAAATAGACAAGCCAAACCTGAAGTCTCTTTGAGTAATAGCTATAAAATACAGGGAATTCCCTTATCTATATATGGACTAAGATTCAATCTAGCTATTAGGAGAAGGGTCATATATTTTCGAAAACCCTAAAACTGATGGTGTTTACATTTCAGAGATCATGCATAAAATTGCGGATTTGCACATATATTTGGAAACTATGGATTATCTGAACAATTGTACTTTGTCACCTTCCTACAAATTGTAAGTGAATGCTTACAAACAAATTATACTCAATTGACGACAACTGAACACTTATTTTTAATAACCCATACACTATTAGTGTAACAGTTAAAAAATGTAAAAGTTAAAATTAAGAGTGCAAAAGATACAAGTGGTGAAATGTTCATATTTCAATAACAGTCAAACTTAGCAATAGCGTGACGAAGTTCAATACATGATCAAATAAATCTAAGAATAACCCATCCTCATTCTTCAAATCTCGTATATGTTTCTTAGAGTTCTCAATAATATGCCACATATAAAGACATTACTTGGACAAAGGAGAGACTTTAGATATTGCAGTTGTCGTGGAGGCTTGACCTTCATACAATTTTGGAGTGCAAAGAATGCACTACACGGAGAAATATTAAAAAGCATGCACTCAGAATACTCAATTTTCTCATCGAGTAGAAAAGTCTCATTTCATGTCAATATGTCATACTTGTCGATTAGTACGAGAAATGGTATTATGAACAATGAACTCACCAAAAGCTAAAAAAATCCTTTATTCCATCTACCTGTTCTTGTCTCTCCAAAAAATAACTAACTAATGTACCTTCCATATCTATCTCAATAGAAGATAAAAGCACTTCATTTAACGATCTACAATCACATCCAAACATTAGTCCCAAATGAGGCTAGCATCGACCCATTCAACTATCCATTCCTAAAAATATCTTCTCCACTCAGATCAATTGTCTATTCCTAAAAATGTCTATTTGTTATGTGTTAGAATCACAACAATAAAAGACATATAATTTGTTGTCCCAGTTTGTGGTCACCCCGCAAAATAAAATCAACAAAGGAGAACCACTAGCCTTTGCTTCTAAACAACGAAACCCATCAACACTATTAACTCAGTTCATTTCCATATAATATATTTATTTATCTCACCAGAGGAATACCCAACATGATCTACTAATGAACTTTGAAAAAAATGGTGATTGTGATATTTAAAATGCCTAACAATAACCCAATCACCACTACTTTTAATCTCAAAATAAATCGTTGCCTTACAACGAGTACCAACTCGTTAACTTGTGTGCATTGCTTACCACTCACACCTTCATCCCTTTTCAAATCTTGCTTAGTACAAAAGTCTCTTCCCCTAAAATCATAACCACTTACTCTCTTCCTTAAAGTACAATATTGAGTCCAAAACCAATCCTAAAAGCATAATCATTATACAAACAAATGCTTATTCCTCTAAAAATATATTTTTTTCCATGAGCTCATAAACTTTAAATTCTATAACTAATACGAAGTACAATTTTTATATAAAAAAATCATTATACAGTCATATACGTTCAAAAGTAGAATTGAAGAATGATCAACTGCACAAATAAAAAGAAGAAGAAACTACAATTATAACATGTAAATGCAAATGCAACAAGAATACATTAGATAGGGGATGAAAACAATATATGATCACATAGCTACAATAGTTGAAATAAGTAACACTATTGGGTTAATGTTTACCTATTTGATGTAACATCTATTATTATTATAATATAATAGCAAAAGGAATCTTGCAAGAGAAGTTCCCGCCAAGTCTCTAGGGTAGTAGCATGGAGCTACGTATGGAGTATATTTGAGAGTAATTATAGTGTTCATTATACGTAGTTATAAAAAGTAGTGTAATTAATGAAATAACATGGAAATACTCAATAAAAGCAGGACATCTCGACATCCCAAGACCAATCTTATCTCATGTAATAAATAAATACACTAGCTGACGTTTTTTCCAAAGAACATTAAAAGAAACAAATATTTAATATTTTGCTGCTAATAATTTTTGCAGTAGAGTATTCTAGAGTGTAATGTGCAAATTTTCTACGGAGCATATAAATACGCCATCATTGTACGCCCATCATTCCATGAGGATACTCATCAACCATTCCATCAAACTTCTGCAAAATAATGATGCATACATGAATAGCACACGTTTCAAAGGTAAAATTCTGGCTTTAGTTTTGGTATACTAAAACTAAAATTTTTTCTTGTACTCAACCACAACCATACATTTCCACAATCATATTGAATTTGGTATAATGAGCCGTGAGATCTGACAAAATTTTAGTCAAAATCGGATTGAAAACTCTAAGCAATCACGATGCATGTCTCGATCTATTACATTAGTTCTTAATTATCCTCTATGTTTTCATCAGTCTTTTGTTCTTCAATTTTTCCAGTCACGTCCCTCACGGCCTCACCTCAAAGTTTTCTGTCTTGTTTAAGTTGTTTAATAGGATGGTATATAATTACAATTTCTTCATTAGGATTGATATGAATCTTTTTTTGCGTCCAATTTCGTATAGGTGATTGTTTGCACTTTTCCTTCACAGATTTTCATTTATATATTTTGATACAAACATTAGTTTTTGTAAAAATAGAGCGTATAATTCAATATTGTCCACAAAATTTGGTGTATAGTAGTACGGACAAGTACATCATATTTGGTATGTGGTGAAGTTATAGAATTTGCATTAAATTAAAAAACAAAAGACCATTTAAAATATGAGTAAAACATAGATAAACATCTCGATTAGTGATACCTATAGAGGCCGGGTTGAATGTAGATGAGGACTCTCCGAGCATTGTGGGGTGGAATGCTATCAATGGCCTTTTGGATGGTCTTGAAGTCTCCTTTACCATCTTGGCTCACTCTTATTTCCATCTTATTCATCTCCGCCTCCCTCAGCTTCGGGTCTAGTCGTGGAGATAAACCACCACCACCACGGTTGACATCGGCGGCGGATCCTATTGTCATCATCATCCTCCGCCCATAACTCCTTATTAAGTTCCATTTCTCCAGCTGCCCGTGGCCGGAAGTGTTGTTATCTTTCCGGCCACCGCTGCCTATGGCTCCCAATTGCTGATGATCCACCAGAAGGATCACTAAGATTAACAACTTAATTGATTGCAACTTATTAGTAATATGATAAAAATAGCAATGATTATTAGCCATCTTGTTTATTTCGCACATACTACGTACACATGCATGCATACGGTAACAAATTAATAATAGTAATAGTAATAACAACCACGTACACTATTGAATAGTATGTAGCAATTAAGCAAAGTGATTAAGTTAATTGCTTTATTTGAGGATGTTTGGGATGGGATGGGAGCTTAATTTGCATGCAACTAGCTAGCTAGGATAGTGTGTGTGGTGAATATGTATGTGGTGTGTGTAATAGCGCACGTGTGCCACGTGGGGCAAATCCATGAATTTAGACCTCGAAAGATCAGCGCAGGAGAATATGCCCCTATTTTGAGTTGGTCAAATGTCGGAGATTTGAGGCGGTCAAAGCAGGACAAATTAAAGCGAAGCACAAAAGTAGCTAAGTTAACGTTAAAGGTAGGGCTCCGATGATACCATTGTGAAATACGGATCATTGAATGGGTTGTGTAATGGGACACTATCTTATTCTAATGAGGTTCAGTGATCATGTTTTGGAGGAGAAAATTTTAACTCGTGTGAGTGATGGGCAAAAAGTATTAATTTTTAGATGAGAATTTACCCAAAATAGGGCTAAAAAGGTTTGAAAATTCCAAAGTAGGACTGTCATGTTTTTATTCCCAAAATAGGACTAATTACTGTCATGTTTTGGCAGTACCATACTTCAAACATGACAGTATTTTCCAAACTTGGCAGTAATTACTTCTATTTTGGGAATTAAAAACATGGCAGTCCTATTTCGGAATTTTCAAGCTGTTTTAGTCCTATTTCGGGATCTTTCCCTTTTTAGATTGTCCTAGACGCCGTCCGATGCCAGCTTGTCTTTCCAATTTCATAGGCGACAATATCCTGTTATGACTTCATATGCTATGACTATAAATAAAAGTCAAGATCAATCTTTGTCCCGTGTTGGGTTGTTGTTGACAAAAACGGTATTTACCCTCAGGCAGTTGTATATTGCAGCATCAAAGGTTACCAATATAATCGTTGTGGTTTGAAAATTTTAATTGTTGACAAAGATGAAAGAACCACTGACAAGACTCAGAATGTTGTATTCAAAGAAGTGTTCAACAATAATGTTTAGGTTTACATTAAATGCATGTTTACAATGTTATGACTTCAACGTTTTTGTTGGATGTTTTTGATCTTTTAAGTAATTCTTAGTACCCTCATTTTAACCATATTATTATAAGTGTGTTGCGTTTAATTCTTTGATGTATATCGATATTACATGAAGATAGATACTGCCATCAATTGATAGTGTGATTTGAATTACTAAGCACACATAAATTTGAAAGAAAAAATTCTCAAACCGTGCATCGCACAAGTAAGTTTACTAGTTAAATAAAAGTAAAAGGTAGTCAATAATCACAAACAGGATTACATATTTTTAACTCACTAGTAGGACTAATTATGTGTGTTTGGACAAATATACCCTTGTAGCTATTGAAATGTTTTAATTCATAATAAAATCATAAAAAATAATTAAAAAATTTTAAACTAAAAAAACGTTTAAAAAAATCACCTCTGTCTCTCCCACCCCAGCAACACCACCATCAGTCACCGGGAAAAACAATTCCACATATATTAATAATGTCATATTAATGGCAGATTCAATGAAAATTTTTGCATTATCAAAGAGTAATATGTCAATTTTTTTTGACATTTTCAGGAAAAAAATGATTTTTTTACAAAAATTGGCATTTTTTTTACAACAGTCGGAGTCTCGGAGATGGTGGTGCAGGAGGCAGTACAGGCGGTGAGAAATGCATCCATATTTTTGTTTTAATGGATTTTTAATATTTTTATTAATTTTTTTTATTTTTAAATTCTTTTAATTTATATTTTTATAAATATTTTATTATTTTTTTATTATTTTTCTACGATTTTCATTATTTTTATGATTTTACTATGAATTAAAATATTTAACTATGACTCTTGATTACCTATTACTCCTATATAAAAGGAGAGGTAAGAATGGAATTAAAAAATATGTATGTCTTAAACTAGAAGTAATATGATCCTATTTTTGAACTTAAACATAAGAAGTCCTATTTTTATTTTTACTCTAGTTTTATTCCTACTTGAGATAATTTCTAGTAAGAGTAATAAATAATACATCTTCAAAGTATCCTTATCATGATACATCACTATTTTTTTTTATATCACGGATCATGTAATATTGAAGTGTAAAAATACATCACACCAATTATAATGATACTTGTGGATTTTAGCAAAAAAAAAAAAAAACAAGACACGTGAACTAATTGTTGATTGATATCACAGAAATAAAATAAAGTTTAATCATCAAGTTACACAACTGGCTTTCCAAAATTAATTTACCATTATGTGTGGTGTTATCGGGCCCGCTTATGTATGAGGAAGGTTTAGTTCTGGAAAAAAGGTTTTATGCGTCGCTAAGGGTTGTAGGTGGGGTAAAGACCAGCCGCCCTACAGGAAAAAGTAAATGGTTGATTGGAGAAGGCTCTTTATCGGACAGGAATTCACAGGGGTGGGAGGATCAAGGGTCGAACGGAAGAACACATGGGGATAAGGAAGACACCAGGGGCGGAGCCAGAGCACTGGGCCGGGCCGGTACAAAGAATATTTTTAGGAAAATTTTTACCCGAAATTTTTTACCTTAAAAATTAAGCCATTTTTAAAATTTGGGGTGGGCCATGGCCTAGGTTGGCCCACCCCTAGCTCCGCCCATGGAAGACACGGTGGACTCGGGTAGCGGCTCTAATTGGGAAGTGGTTCTGAAACACAATGAAGAATTCTTTGGAGAGCAGAAATGCAGGCGTATCTGGGAAGTAGGGACAAATAAAAAACAAGGAAGGGACGAGATGGCACTGGATGTGACAAAAAATGGAGAGGAGACGAGCTTAGAGGGGTAAGCTTATCAAGGGCAGAAACGTGGCGTGTGGAGTCCTATTGGGGCTGCATTGTTCTGATTGGAGGATCCTATCATTTTATTTTTTATTGCTTTATGTTTTACATTTCCAACTGTTCTTTATTTTCTTGTTGGTTTTGTTGCTTTGGTTCTGTTTGATTACCATCGTTGGCTCTGGTGTGCCCATTTTTGTATCAACGAGTTATGCCTAGAATTGACATATCAATAAACTACCATGGGTCATCCTTACCATGCATCCTAGAGCTCGGCTCTATTACATCACCATGCACTAAAGTCCAATTCCTAAGAAAACCTATGCCTAGAATTGACATATCAATAAACTACCATGGGTCATCCTTAAAGACTGCCCATAACTTAACCTTAGTTTCATACTAAGTTACTATATACACTTAAAGTATATTCAAGTGTATTTCATACAATCCAATCCTTAAGATCAATTCTATAAACAATTTCCAATAACCACTAACTAGTATTTCAATACTATTAAGATTACTGTTACCATACAAATATTCTCATTTTGTAATTCTCTACATATTTATAAGTATGTAGCAGCAACTTAAGTATTCAATCACAATACATAAATATTAATTTATGTATCCACATAATTCATACATGAGTAAAATGCCTATTTCACAAAATAGTTCATTCATAACTCATTTAATCTCATATTATTCATACATCCTCAAATCATTTCCAATTTCATTCTTTGGCAACTATATCAATATTTCATCAATATTTAATCATCATAATCCATGAAAAATTATGATTTAGGCATTTAGGTAATCTCAACCTTAACCTACAAGTTGTAAGCAATTAGATGTCGATCCTCACCTCAAATGAGCTTTAAATTACTCCTTCTCAACCCAATGCTCAAGCTTCGGCCAAGGGAGTTTGATAATTGATTCCTTGTTTATGAATGAGTGTTGGACAGACTCTTCAAGGTGCTAGCTCAACTCCTAACCGAAGACACAAAAACAGTCCCTAGAACGGGTGTTTTCCGGCGAATTCGTTCCCTAACCTTTCAAGGTTTTGTCTAGGTTAGTATCTAACCTTTCCAACAATTAAAGTCACTTTATAATAACATTTTATACACTTCAACCAGTGTATAATAGTTCTTCAATCATTCATATGATTTAGACAATAGAGAGGAAGGTTTTGGATTCAAACTTACTTTGAATACAAAAAAGTATTCTGCGAGATTGTGTTTTGTTTGGACGATTTGGAGGCCTTAAACTGCTCCGTTTTCTTCAAAACGCACGTCTATGGATTCATCTTCTTGAGAGATTTCAGTGGACACCTCACACGCCCTTTTTGGATGAGTATTTCTCAAGATACGAACCAAACAGTGAGCTCCACGAACTGGAGATTATCCCTGCGGCCAGCTCCCTTATCTCTTTCTCTTTTGAGTGTGAGGCTCTCCATTCTTTCTTATCTCTTTCAGTTCGAATGGGGGGTGAGGGGGAGGTGTTTAGGAGCTCTCAAAATGATATCTAAGCATGTGGTTCACAAAAAGAAAGGGTAGGGTGTTTGATTGCAATCAACCATGAGGTGGTCCTCCTCTTTTATTTCTTTTTGTATTGTTTGGGCTCTCAACTCAATAGGCCCGCCCCATTTATGTGTTCTAACTTATTCCCCTTGTTTTGCAGGTTCCAGGAAGGTGCGGGGCGCACTCTTATGTCCCCTAATTAATTTGAGAGCAAAATATCCACCAATACTTCCAAAAGTGGAAAGATGAGTCCTATTGTTTTTATCATTTGTCATAAGATGTACTTTTTGTACTCATCCCAATTATTTAGATCAAGTCAATCTTCTACATCGTATTATTGATCTCTACTATGTGTAGGATAATCCCAATAATTTATATGATGTATAATTATGAAAGAGAACCTTACTCCCATTATTTAGCCTAATAATGCCAAAGATGGGACCATAGGCATTTGTATTCTTCTCCGATCATTCTATCACTCATTTATGACATTAGTACTCATATTGCTGGGCTACTAGCCGTGTGGGTTACCCTCCAGTGGGTCTCGAGCGCCATTCTTGAATAATTGCTATTTTAAGCAGGTTAGACCCAAAATAACATTTGGGCTGCCCGACCGTTCTTACTTTGTATCGAGGGGTTATATATCTTTATTTAAGAATGTTGGGCCCCAATATCAATAAGATGGCCCAATTAATTATTTGGAAGTCCATTACTATTATACGAGCCCAAATAGTAATATGATTAATCACACATTACGTAAAACTTTAATCGTTTTACAATTGTTCGATAATAGGGAAATTCAATACATAAGCTTTGAAATTTAATTTGAATTTCAAGGACGTTCAGGTGCGGTGTCACACTTCGTCTAGTTGTTATGTAATTTGGTTAAAGTGTATTTTATCTTGGTTAACATGTTTTGTTGTTGTGAGTTTAGCATGTGCACTTAGCTTTGGGAGTGCTAAATGTGGCGATACCATACACAAATTCCAAATTATTTTTCTGCAGAACCAACTCTGATGATTTTTAAATACAGTTCAATACTTCTTTCAAATGAACGATCTTTCAAAGCACTATTCCGGGTGGGGAATTTGAGGGTGTTACAAATACGGCCAGTCAAATTTATTCCTAAAATCCACCATGCTCACCATTCCTCGGCGACGCGTTACAGTCACAGACCAAGACCGGTCCCTCCATCCGTACTCCATTCCTCTGTGGTTCTCCACTAGCGCAAATCATCACTCTATCACGACAAATACGGCACATCAAAATCTTCCTATAAATCCTCCCCTGCTCCATTCCTCGGCGCCGCGCCGCACTTGCACACCAAGACCAATCCCTCTACCCCCTACTCCATTCCTCAGTGCCACAGTCACACATGATGAGCTGTTCTGTATATAGATCATAAGAGAAGATGGGTAGGGTTTGCCCCGATTAACTAGAAATGCTCTATTGTCATATTGTGCAGTTCTGAAAGATAAATAAATATAAAATGAGTAAAGGCAAACATTTTTCGCTGTTTTTCATCAAAGTGTTTCATTCTAGGGTTACAAAAAAATCAAAAGTGTTACATTCTTGTGTGATTGTGTCCCGTATTTACAAGTGTTACATAATTTTAAAAAGTGTTACATTTGTACCATAAAATGTAACATTTTTCAAATAAACTTTGAAAGTGTACACTGAGTTAAATATGTAACACTTTTATAAGTATGTTACATCTTTAATGTTATGTAAAGTCCAAAAATGTTGTAACGCCCCAAAATCTGGTCTAATAGTCAAGATACATATGAAGAAATTTTCAGATTTTATTACAGAATAAAATTAAACAACTCTCCTACTCCATATAATTTATAGTATATTTTTATAATAAATAAAATAATAAACCTAAACTAAATGGTAGACAGTCACATTTAACATTTCGAACTAAACAACACGTGTCCCAAAATATTATAAACTATAGTAGAGATAAACAATAGGTGTCCTAAATATTAAATGAACTTTTGGACTAATCTAAATAACAATTCAGATAGTTTTAATATAAAATATAATAGTAAAATATCTTAAATGAATTAGGAATGGGCAACCAAGTAAATGTCTACTCATACAAGATATTTTGCATGTAAAACAAGCTAGGAGCTTCATCATTTTGAAGGAATAGTTAAGTTGAATAGTACTCAAGGGGACATATTGACATGCTAAATTAAATGATATCCAAACAAAAAGAATAGTAGGCCAAATGATCATCGTATTATTGAGATAGAGGACTACACAATTATTTTCTTTTTTGAAACTTCTAGCAGACCTGTTTGACTTTAAATAGGCCATAGCTCTTCTTATTTCTTTCACATGATCCGAACAAAAGATAAAGTAAAGAAAACCATCAAAAGAAATATAGCCGCAAGAAGAAGAATACTACCAGGAGGTGTTCATATCAATAAAATTTTAGAAGAATTTCTCTATAAGGTCAGTACTTCTGACCCAGTCTCATTCAAAGTATAATTTCCATCCCCGTCTCATGTTAAGATATGGGGATGATGAATTTCATATAGCCTTAGAATATTTTGTATGCTTTAAATACATGATATTAGTATTGAGTAAATACATGTTAAGTTATACATGATGATATATATTGTATGTTCTTTATCTTATAACTTAGAACTAGTATTCGGTAAATACATGATACTAGTTACGTTCTGAAAGAGAGAAAAATATGTAAAACTTTAATTAGCAGATCGAAATAGCTAGAGCCTGGCTAAAATAAAATCTGGAAATTATAAATTGAATCAGTTACTAGGTAGAATGGCTTAAGCTAGATAATTATGTATATTAAAGTTGTTGTTATATATTACTACGTATATGACAATTAGATGGCTATATATATATATATATATATATATATATATATATATATATATATATATATATAGATAAGAGATCACATACTAACCATGCTTAAAATACTAACTTACTAACTCAATAATATGCAACACATTAAACTTCAATATGCAGTACAAATAATGTAAAGATGCACACTGTGAATTTCAATATGCAATAAAAACAATATGCAAAACTTTGAACTTTAATATGCAGTACAAATAATATGCAACACTTTGAACTTCAATATGCAGTACAAATAATGTAAAGATGCACCGTTTTTGATAGTTTGTAGGTTAGCATGGGAGGAATGGTTAGTATGTGATCTCACCCCTATATATATATATATATATATATATATATATGTTTCGGTTCAAATAAGAACACGATCTTATGAGAGAAATGAGAATGAATCTGGACCGTTAGATTTGCTTCAAGTGAAATTCAGTGTGCATTAATGAAACTGTAATGTGCCTCCTCGTCAATGAGAACCATTTCAATCATATATGGCTCTGAGGAATTTCCCTTGCTACGAACATTCCATATGCATACTACTCTCCGCAACAACACTGCCTTGTCTTCCAACTGCGCATTAACATTCTTCAAAACGACCTTGTAGGGAGCACGGTCAGACATTGGAAAATCGATAGACGGCTTCGCCTAATTCTAGGGCTTTAGACGAACTTAAAGGGGATAATTCAGATTGATAGTGCAGGCTCGATCTATATAAATACGAAGTATAAAGAGTTTGGATTCAGATAAAATACTAACCTAGATGGACTCTCCAGGCTTGAGCGGAAGCAAATCCAAAGCTTTCGGCGAAATCAAATAGTTCGTCGCAATTTGTTTTTGAAAACAATCTTTTGGAGTCCAAAATATGAAGTGGAAGAGATAAAGAAGAGGATTTTCATTTTTCAAAAATGCTCTAAGAGTCCAGATTGAATAGAAAGTAGAAGAAGGGTGGAGAAGAGAGGAAACGTAAGAAGAAAGCTCCAGGTATTGTGGCGGTGTTTAAATGTTTAATAGAAAGTACGCGTAGACGCGTAGTTACGGGAATGCCCCTGCGGTGAGCGGGAACTTCACTTAACTCGAGTAATTAGATATATAGATTATCGAATATTGTATGCGACAAAAACAATGTAACAATTTTTTTATATTACTAATAAATTTATTTTAAAAAACGCTCGAACAAGCTCGGGACTGGCCTAGGGGCCGGCCTGATACACAGAATCAAACCTGGACCCGTAATTTTTGGGTCAGTTCTGGGGTCATCCAAGAATCGGGACCGGAACTACAACCAAACTGGATCGGATCCATATCAAATCAAACCAAACTTTGATAGTTGTATGATAAACATAGAACAGAAATTTATCTCACCAAACCATTTGAAACTAGATTGTACTATATACTAGACTAGGCTTATACAAATGAGACCATATCATATCAAATTAGACCAGACACAACAACAACAACAACATCCAAATCTTAGTCCCAAAAGATTTTGGGGTCGGCTAACATGAATCGATACATGATATCACCACCAAAAGGAAAAGAAAGAAAATAAAGATAAAAAAGCTAATATAAAAAAATAATATAAAACGAGATGAATATACCTAAGAATGATAAAATAAAAAGGATAAATAAATTACAGTCATACTAAATAAATTCTTATTGCCATTATATTTATAAATTAATTATTCATAATATTTGAATTTTGGTCAAATTACAGGTAAATCAAATTCATACCCCTCGTAGGCAGATGAAAGAGCAGAATGGATTATTCACATGTTCATACTTCAATGTTGCCTTCTTATAAACTAGAAAAAATGACTTTATTACTAATAATAGATTTTCCCCGGAAAAAAACATGACTAGTTATGTCTTTGAACAAAAATATGACTAGTCATAGTGAACTAGTCACTAAATATGTCAGTTTTTAAAAAATTTAAAATAAGTCATCTTTTTGTCTTTTAAATTTAATTTAGTAATATTTATGAAAAAGCCTATAAACTAATGTCTTCTCGATCAATACTTTAGTAAAATACAAATTAGCAGCCCTTCAACTAGAATAATCAAACATGATTTTTTTAAATTTCACACATGAAATATTGGCTTCATATTCAAAATCATTAAAAAAAATTAATTTAATATATTGTTTATGAAAATAGAAGTGCAAAAGTTGTACGAACTACAAAGTAGCATTTTATTAATATAAACATCGTATTATTAAAATAAACATAGTAATTGTTTGCCCATGGAATCATGGATTGAAAATTCTTAGTGACTGACGTCTAATTGGTCTAATAAATGAATGTTGCCGTATGCAATTAAATCAAATACGGAGTTATCAATATGATTCATAAATCAAAGAGGACATTTTTGTCCGATCATGAAACTAATGAGGTGCGCCCAGCCATTCTTGGGTTGTGCGAAGGAGGTCTATTTTGCTCAAACCATTTTAGGACAATTTTGCTCCGATTTAGGGCTTAGTTATTTAGAAATGGGAATTTAGGGCTAATTTGCCATTAACCGCAGCTCGATTTCTCAACTCAAGAGTTTGTAACTCTGCATGCTTACAACTTTACAAGCTGTTTTCGATCTAATGGATAGCCATCCTTCTCTTCGGAGCAGAACTGCAATAGATCTAATAAGTGAACTGCCAGAAGATGTAAAGCACAAGATATTAGAGTGTCTAGATACTCGAGAAGCGGCCAAAACTGCTCTTCTCTCGACTCAATGGAATAACGTTTGGTTACGACATGGCCGACTTGTCTTTGATCATGATGTCTTATTAGGAGAAGGTGAAGGCGTTAGATGCTCGAAAATGATAACTAATGCTCTGTTACTCCGTCCTGGACCCGTTAAGAAATTCACTCTGGACACTGCCCAATGGGAACCTGCTCTGCAGCAGTCTGATTTAGATCTCTGGTGTCGTTCTCTATCAAAAAATGGTATAGAGCATCTTAACCTCACTATTGAAGCTCACAACGACATTGGAGATAAGTACACACTACCTGTTTGTATAGTTTTCTGCCCGACAATCAAGCAACTGCAACTTGATTCAATTGATATTTGCTTGCCAGTCAATACTCGACCTGGTAGTATGTTTTCTGGTGTTACCTCTTTAGAGTTCACTTACGTTGATTTTCACCGTGACGATAGCCTCACAGTTATCCCTCGTATTCCTCATCTTGAGGTGCTAGTATTCTGGAATTGTGATGGGATAGATATGTTCGTGATCAATGCTCCAAGACTTAAATACCTCAGCTTCATCGATGCTCAGTTCGTGGCTGAATGGGAATGGTTTGAGCTTCATTTTCGTGTCATTAAGACTCTTTGCTTCGGTGCATATACGTTTTTGGTGAGAATCATGCCTTCGTAACATGTTGCACCATTCATAAAGAATAGGCCCCATGATACATATGTGTGTTCTCTAGTCTCATTTAAGGTTAACCAATTGCTTTGTTTTGTCTTTGACTTTATAAAGTATAAGACTGATGCTACGATAAATATCCAAGAGAGGCTTCCAACTGCTACAAATCTGCAAGTGATTGAGCTGCATGATTTTAGGTTTGCTGATGCGAATTGTGCTAATCTTGTTATTCAATTGCTTCGGAAATGCCCAAAGCTACGCGAACTGGAGATATTTATATTAAAGAATCAGGTTGTAATATCCAACAATTACCCGTCTTTTTTTGTGATTGAGATTCACGTATTTATGGTCTAATAATTTTAAAATTCTTGTCTTGTAGTCACGTTTGTGTGGTGAAGTTGATCCAACTATTTTGAGAGATCCAGACGGTTGGTTTAGTGATCAGGATCTCGGTGAGCTTAGAACACTCAAGATGAAATCGTTTAAAGGATCAAGAGAGGAAATGCTCTTTATCAGATTAATTCTATCAAAGTCTCCCTCCCTTGAGGAAGTTTTAATTACAAAATCAGGTCGCATTGATACCTCTGTGGCTTTAAAAGTACTAACGGAGATGATCTCCTACCCTCGTGCTTCGCCAAAAGCAAAAATTGTTTTCCTGTGACATAGCTAGGCGCTGCTCTATTTCCTGGATATTAGGCATTTGTAGCCCCTTATAAGGTGTGTCTCCATCAGTTCTGCTTGCATAGGTCCTACACAAAATTCTGAAGTCCTTTTGGTGTAATATATTTGGTGACATCCAATTTTCTTATAATTTATTTTGTGATATATGGTTTCTTCAATTTTCATAACCGCATTTAAGTCACAGGTTGTGTAGGTTATTTTATTACTCACGGGTTCTTCAATCTTCATTTGAGGTTCGAAACCGGTGAGCATGGGAAACTGGTGAGCATGGGAAACTGGAGCGCTCGTGAAGTGATATTAGTTTATATAACCACATTTAATTCACAGGTTACAAGGTTTTACTGTTTACGAATTAAAGAGCATAGGTAATATATGCTACAGAGAAGTAGAACACTACTAGATTTGCTCGATTATCTGTCTTTTGTTGGTGATGTTGTAGCCTTGGCATTCCATCATCCTTGTGGGATTGTATTGTTTCTAGACCGTGTTTAGAAAATAGGTTTTGTTAACTGAATCATGGGACCTTGATAAAAGTTTGACTGTATCAATGCTGATATGATCATACTCAATAAGTTAGTTACAAAATAAGATAAGTATTCTTTGATGTCTCTTAAACCAATGAGCATAAAAACATATATACAGGTACATTGGAATTCCACACAACAAAATCATTAGAGTTACAGAACGATATGTAGATACCTCCTTAGCAGGAGAGGGATGCATAGTTCCACACTGTTCAAGTCTTTCATTCCTCATTCTATGCCAATACTCCAATTTATCTACAAGCCACTCAAGATTCGGTCTTAGGTTTTAGGGCATCTTTCAACACTTGTTTCCATGTAAATGATCCCGTATCTACCCTGAAGTATCAAGCACAATGTCTTCAAAACCGATGTCGGTTCCATTTTCTGAAATAAAAATAAAAAATGCCTAATTCGCCAAGAAACCCGATAAACCGTTGTGAACTAAATAGCATTGCATTGACACAAATTAGCTAAAAAAAAAGTAACACAACCAATTCAAACACGCATAAAATATTTATTGAATTATGAAAATTATGGGGACAACGGACAACCGAAATAGGCACTTTTGTGTAGTAACTTGTTGAGTTTTTGTGAGGCAAATATGAGTGCTAAAGTGATTTTGGGAAAATGATAGGAACTTGTTGAGTTATTAAAATATTCTCTCCTAACCAAAAAATCCTAACACTTTCCTTTTTTGTCCGTATAAAAAAAATCCATTTCTAAATCTTTTCATCATGCCCTTGATAATTTTGAAAATAATACATTATTATAACTACTTTTTTTGGATTTATCCTTCATCCCATCACATTATTCCACTATATTCGCATCATACCCTCAATAATTTTTATCTTCTTTCACTATTCTTAATCTACCTACTTTTGAAATGGGAAGATTTTTAAGTTACGTAAGGAGTACTACTTAAGCAGTATTCCAGAGATTATCTTGATACTTGGGTTAAATACCTTATATGGTGTGTATTGTTTAATAGAAACGTCAAAGCCGATTGTGAAGCTAGTTAGACCATTTGGAGTGATGAGATATTAGGAGTTCAAAATGTTAAAAATGACATTTTTGAACTTCTAATTTCATGCATTGGTTGATTGAAAATGGTATTAAAATTGGATTTGGGAAGGAATGAGGTTAAATTTGGAGGAATTTGGACAGTCAAAAAATAAATGTAAAAGAAATTAAAGTGGGAGTGGGGCGGCCACCCTCATGTCGTGCACAGAGGGAAAGAGGCCAGGGATATGTACTAGAAATGATGAGGATAGAGGTTGGTTCCTTCTCATTAGGATAGAGATCTGTTATTCGGCACGGCAGCCCCAAGAGAGGTAGCGGGGACGGGCCATGAATGTCCTTTAATAACTTGCAGATCAAATGAGCTGCTTAACCTCATCCAACGTCAATTTAACGGAACCGTTATTGGGTGGCCAAAAAGCAACGAATAAGTTGGAATTTGTGTTAATTTGGTCTACTTAAAACCTAAGTGTCTAATCCGAGATTCATTAAAAACCTTAATGTCATTTTTGGCCCTTCTTCCCAGAGGGAAAGAGGCCAAGGTGGCATTTGGGGGCGTAAAAATTATTTCCCCAATCTGATGTCATGTTGATGTCGTGGTGGTGTCACACAACACCCAAGCTTGTTTATTGTTTTAAAAAAATTGGTAGATCCAACGGTTGTGATGATTTGGACACTGTTTGAATTGAAAAAAATGATTCATTGACTGAAATTGAAATCAATTTATTTTATTTTTCTATTTTTTTTAATTAATATTTTGTCCGAAAATCCTATATAAATTCTCCGATGTGTTTGAACTCACTTCATTGAAAAACGTAAAAAAAAATAATTAATGAAATTTATTTATTTTACATCAAAATGTGTCTTTTTTATTTTATAATTAATAAGAGAAAAAATTAAAAGGAAAACATTAGTTATAATAATTTAATTAATATTTTACTAAATTGATGTGTAAATAAATGTGCAGAGTGTATTTTATTTACAGTTTTGGAATGAAGAAAAATAGGAATCAAAACGCTGTTTTCATATTGAAGGTGTCAATTTTTTACATTTAGACCCTCACACCACTCCAAATGGTCTTAGCCTAGGCAAATCCTTGGACCTCTCATTTTGGAGGGGCCTCTCATTTTTGAAGTACCATCAGTATTCAGAGTTTTTTTCAAAAATAATGTCAAATAAAAAATTATTTACGAAATTAAGATCCAGTTAAAACTATTTACCAAAATACTGCTGGATTTAACTCTGGTTAACCAAAGTCGCCAAACGAAGTGGCGACTTACAAACCGCCAACCCATTTGGCGACTCTTGCATGCGAGGGAAGTAGCAAGGTACGGTAAGGTAGAGTAATAAGTTGGTGGAGCCCATGTTATAAAAATCGCAATTTTTCTTTAAAAGGCTATAACTTTTTCGTTTTCACTCCAATATTTTAAAAATATATCAAAATTCACAATTTTTTATTATCTTTCATATGACACCAATATAGAATATATAAATTTTAATTTTTTCAAAGGCTTATTAACTCTTAATTTTCAATCTCAATACGAAATATTTCATACAGAGTACTCCCTCCGTTCTCCATTAGTTGTCCTTACAGGGTTTGACACAAGTTTTAAGAAGAAAATAGTAGGGGTGGAGTGAATGGTGCAGTAGGTTATGTTTAAATGAAAAAGTATGAAAGAGAATGAAAAAGTAGGAAAGATAATGAGGGTAAATGAGTATATTTATTGAAAAACTTTCCAAAAATGGAAAGTGAGACAAATATTAGAAAACAACCCCAAACAAAAAGAGGGACAAGTATTAGAGAACGGATGTTGTATTATATAAAGAAACAATTTGTATTATATGGCGAAATTAAAGATAGAGGATGAGGATGTGAATTGGTAATTTTTAGAGACGATAATTATGTTTAAATTTTATATTGTTGTGGCTATAAATGTGTACTCATAAGATCATTTGGAGTAGTGTGGAGGTAAAAATGTCAAAAATTGACCCAATTCATACAAAAAAAGTGTTTTAACTCCTATTTTCCTGCATTCCAGCACCGTCATTAAAATATACCAAACATATTTTTTATATATATCAATTTAGTAAAGCAATAACTAAATTATTATAAGTAATGTTTTCCTTATAATTTCTTCCTTGAATAATTATGAAATAAAAATATACATTTTGATGTAAAATTAAATAAATTTCATTAATTTTTCTAACGTTTCGATATAAAAACATATTTCGCCTAAAACGTAAGTTTTTTTTTGACATTTTTACCTCCACACAACTCCAAATGGTCTTATGAGTACACATTTATAGCCACAACCACTATTCTAAAACTCCTTCTAGGCGCCCGACTAGTCCCCGCCTAGGCGCTAGACGGTGGCCGGGCGCCCCGATTTTTGTCTAGGCGCTCCGACTAATTGGTTTGCCATCTAGGTGAATTAGTCGGCCGCATATGGCGCCTAGTTGCCTGCCTAGAGCGCCTAATCTGTCGCCTAGACCGTCTAGATTCGCCGAACATTACTTTAACTTTAGTCATGGATATAAAGAAATGAAGTTGTAAATCAAGATAAAACTACATATGTTTGTATATATATACCTAATGGATATAAAGAAATGAAGTTGTAAATTAAGATAAAACTATATATGTTTGTATATATATACCTAAATTTTATTATTATTTATATTTATAACATAATGAAGTTAAATGATTAGTTATCATATATTACGTATGATTAAATGTGATAATTATATCATTCATGTTTGTTAATGTATATGTATATATGTATTTTATGCACACAAAAACATAATATTACTTATCATATTTATGCAAAAATATAGATAAAATGCAATTTCTATGTCTCCGACTAGTCCCCGATTAGGCGCCTGCCTAGCCGCCTAGGCGCTAGGCGTTGCTAGCGCCCTACTAACGCCTAACGCCTTTTAAAACATTGGCCACAACAATAAAAAAAATTTAAAAATAATTACTGTCTTTAAAAATTACCAAGTCACGTGCTCATCCTCTATCTTTAATTTCGCCATATAATAGAAATAATTTCTTTATATAATACTCTATATGAAATATTTGGTATTGAGATTGAAAATTAAGAGTTAATAAGCCTTTAAAAAAATTAAAATTTATATATTCTATATTGGTGTCATATAAAAGACAATAAAAAATTATGAATTTTGATATATTTTTTTAAAAAAATTGGAGCGAAAACGAAAAAGTTATAGTCTTTTAAAGAAAAAATGTGATTTTTATAACATGGGCCCCACCAACTTATTATTCTACCTTACCGTACCGTGCTATGTTGCTTTGTTCCCTCACATGCAAGAGTCGCCAAATAGGTTGGCGGTATGTAACTTTGGTCAACCAGAGTTAAATCAAGCCGTATTTTGATAAATAGTTTTAATTGTACCTTAATTTCATAAATAATTTTTTATTTGACATTATTTTTGAGAAAAACTCCAGTATTCATTTATGGGTTAAATACGCATTATAAATTTTTATTTCATATTTAAGTATAAACATTTTATAAAGAATGAAAAATAGGACTTTCAACTTTTGAAGAGACAAAAATCAGTTCCTATACCGTGCAACCGCCCCACCATGAGCATCATGCTCCACTCCCAAAAACGACGTAGTTTTGAACAATTTAAAAAAAAATCGCTGTATCCAGTCCCTCGGACAAACTTGAAGAAATCCTGGTATATGACAGGTGGCCTCGTAAATGGACAGAATGAGATGATCTAAGAATGGAAACAGAACAAGATGATATGAAATGGGATTGGATGCTTATGGAGCTCCTTAGAAGATGTGCTGAAGAAATGATTGGGCTTGACAAAGACGAAATAAAAGGAGACAAATACAAGGAACCATAATCTGTCACTAAGCAAAATACCATCCCAAAACCTCTAGACAGTGTCAGGATTAAGACTCCCTTTCTAGAAGAAATCAGAGAGAGAATTTGGCGCACACCTGAAAAGATCAAGAATTACAGAGAACTCAAGATGCGTGGCATCAACCATCTCAAAGGAAGAACCAGAGGTGGAAACTTGTACATGCTAGGACA